CTGCCAACAGTGGCACGCCTTCGCAATCGCAACAAGCAAACTCCACGGCCAAACACCACGCAAATGGCCGGCGGGTCCTTTTCGGGGTAAACATATTGTTGTTGTCACTCCTATAACATATACATATATATTATGGATGCGGGGAATTAGAAAGCTATGTTCTGTGAGCTGTTAGATTTAAAGGATGCAGTGGAGAACTTATGCGGAAATATATATATGCGAACAAAGTACTTGGCTTTTTTTAGGTAATTTAATGACACTGAATCATTTGTATGCCTGTTTAACAATAAAACAATCCTTAACTATAATGTGAAAAGAAAACAAAAAACTTACAAAGTTGTTCACGTACGAAGTCCTCAAATTTGAAATAGTTGATGCTTACTATCTACTTTTTGAGCTTGTGGGCAGAGGGAAAGAGAATACAGGAAAAATCTTTAAGGAACAAAGATTTCCACATGAAAATTTCTTTGTATTTAACAACGTTAGCCTAGTTACAGAGTTTTAGGCTCTCTTTTTTCAAAAAAGAAAAAGCTTTCCAGAATTTTAGGTTCATATATATGTGGTTCAGACTATTGCTGCTACATAGTGAACTTTAAGCATTTATATTACATGCTGCTGTAATAGAATTGTTCAGCAGTTTGTACATTGAACTCCTTTTCCAATGGTTTTCATTTACACAGTAGATAATTTTCCAATTTGTCTTCATTTTTGTACAGCATGAAGAGGAAATTATATTCGCACTCCTCACAGACTATTATTCGTTTTTTCGTGTGGCAGATTTGGAATGCCGCAACGGCCTTTACCGTGCCTGAAATGCTTATCTGAAGTGCTGATATATTTTCTTGAGTAGTTTTTAATTTATGACTATTATATAAACTTAGTTTTTGAAAAAAATTGATCGACCTATGGAAGCATGCACCTGTTACATATCTGAATTGGTTATGCAGTTCTAAACTATGCAACTCTTTATATGTAAGCATCTATCAATTGATTTTGCAATTTTTTATTATTATTTATAAAGTTAATTTCCCATAGCACAACAATTAGCTGTATTTTCTGTTGATATATTTTGCTTCACATTCGAAATGTGCACTGACATTTGTCCAATGTTGGTGGTTTATTAATAGTTGCCATGGAGCCTGCGACTTTTGCAGTTTGATGTCTTGAATGCAGTGATCAAATTTGGATACCAATATTTCCAAAGTTTTGAGGTTTAAACCAACATTTTCAATTTCTTTTTTTTATAAAATTTATTTAGGACCTTTCCTATTGAGAGGAGTGATAATAAAAATATACTAAACTCACACACATTACACGAATGCTAAGATTCGAACCCAGGACTTTGCTTGAGGGAGCAATTGCTCCACACCACTACACTAATGAGTCCTTTTTTTCTTTCTTTGGGTTAGAAGACAATGCTCAAACCCTTTTCGCCCACCCTTCCTCTAGGGTGGTCCTCTTGGATAGGGTTTGTCATTTCCGGGCCAAAATTTTTTGGGTTAGGGCCGGGCCTTTTTTTTTTACAAAGTCTTTTTAATTTTAATATTTTTAGACAAAAATAAAAAAATTTAATTTAATTCATAATATGTGAAAAATTTAGTCATTTCCTCAAGCGAGCTGGAACTATATCTAACTTGGGCTCTTGCAGGTGGGCCCCAGAGACATTTTGGGTAGAACACTGTTGACTGATTACTCGCCCAATAACCCTATGAGAACCTCGCAAGTGCTTTGTGACATCTATTATTCCGGCTCTCTAACTATATATGAAAGAAATTTACCATGATCTAAGTCATTAGATGAAAATCTTCAACCCACTTGATCACTTTTAAATACACATGATTAACTTATCTATCTACGTTGCCACAAGATATTTCATTTTGATTTTTGGTAAAAAAATTCTATTTGTTTTAATTTAATTTGAACGTTTATTGTTATCATCTCCTCCTCACAAAACTACTACAAAACAACGTTTCAATTTCGATATGAATTATTTAAGGATTTATAAGAGTAATTTAACACACTAAGAACCAATTAGAAAATGACAAGTGACTAATTTTGTGTTTTTCTCTCCAAATAGGCTCTATATGAATTTTTATATAATTAGTCATGCTAAAATGGATTTTTGAATAAATATCCCATCTATTTTCCTTTTTAGATACTTAAAGCTATTTGGTACTTTCTTTCTATTCAACGAGAGACGATACGTTGGCACCGGGGCTTGTAGAAATACTAAGGGTTGTACAGCTCTTCATTATTGCGACGAGATTGGCACTAGTACCTTAAAATTAAACAAAACCTAAAATTGATATTTTGGATAAAAGAAAGAGGCCCTCAGTCAGATAATTTATCTCTTTCCACACATCTCTGATTTTATAATCTTTGTGATTAGTCAACTTCGACCTTATAGTCAATTAGGAGGAAGTAGCGAAAGAGTTATGCCTTCGTATAGCTTCGTGGTAAGTTCTATCTAAGTTTAAGCTTTCCTAATCTCTCTCTCTCTCTCTCTCTCTCTCTCTCTCTCTCTCTCTCTCTCTCTCTCTCTCTCTCTCTCTCTCTCTCTCTCTCTCTCTCTCTCTCTCTCTCTCTCTCTCTCTCTCTCTCTCTCTCTCTCTCTCTCTCTCTCTCTCTCTCTCTCTCTCTCTCTCTCTCTCTCTCTCTCTCTCTCTCTCTCTCTCTCTCTCTCTCTCTCTCTCTCTCTCTCTCTCTCTCTCTCTCTCTCTCTCTCTCTCTCTCTCTCTCTCTCTCTCTCTCTCTCTCTCTCTCTCTCTCTCTCTCTCTCTCTCTCTCTCTCTCTCTCTCTCTCTCTCTCTCTCTCTCTCTCTCTCTCTCTCTCTCTCTCTCTCTCTCTCTCTCTCTCTCTCTCTCTCTCTCTCTCTCTCTCTCTCTCTCTCTCTCTCTCTCTCTCTCTCTCTCTCTCTCTCTCTCTCTCTCTCTCTCTCTCTCTCTCTCTCTCTCTCTCTCTCTCTCTCTCTCTCCCTAAGATGCATTCAACTTATATAATCTGTACATTACTAAAATACATGACTGAAACTTTTGTCCTTCATACTTTTCTTTTATCATCATATTTTTTGTTTTTTGTTTTCTTCTTTCAATGTATATAATTTTGATCATCACATCGTTTATTGTTTTATTGGAAGAAACTTTTCCGGAATTAGAGTTCAAGATTTAGGGTTGTTGAATTAAAAATAAAAAATATGATCTGAAATAAAAATAAAAGATATTATTTTAATAATCTGAAATGTTTCATCTTTTCAGGACGAACGAAGACTTTGGTATTGGATTCAAGAAATTCGTTGGATCTTTTTATAGTTTTCGCGGTGGCATCCTCATATAATATATATGTCTGACTTAGAGGAAAGCTTATATACCGTATATAGTATGAAAGTTTTAGGAAACAAATTGGATGCATTTAGTAATTGGAAGGTCCGATTGTAAAAAATTCAAATACATAATTAGGATGTGGTGATTGAAAGTAATTCATAAGGCTTTTTTTTTTGGTCAAGACTGAAACTTCATTCCAAGGCCGGAAAAACGGCAGAAGAGCTTACAAATAAGGAGAGAAAGCAAAACTGAAAGCTTTTCAACTGAATCCATACAACCCAGCAAAGAAAAACTTTCAATCCAAAACAAAAAGAAACTTAAGGAGGACATGGGAGTCCATCCGAGACCAGAACTTGCACCAGAGACAATGGTGGTCGTGAGACCCAGCTTTCCAGCTCCATAGCTCTAACTCCAATCATGGCTAACTCCAATCATGAGGCTTGGCTCCAGTGTTTCTTTCTTTCTGAACCTCAGGGACAAACCAAGTTATGATTTTGACGATATCGAGAGGCAAGGCCGTCCAACAAAATGGTCTACAGCAGAAGTTAATGGAATTCTTGCCCCAAAGGGGCGCACCCTTCAGCTGTGGAACAATATATTCGTAATCTCATGTGTGGTCGGGGTCTCCTTGGATCCTCTCTTCCTTTATATTCCAATCATCAAAGAGAAAAACAAGTGCCTTGGAATGGACAAAAAGCTGAGGAATGCAGCTCTTGTTTTACGCTCACTTACGGATATCATTTTCGTTGTGCGTATTGTACATCAAATTCGAACCAAGCTTGAGGACTCTGAGGAACCTGCCGAAGGAAGGGAGTCATTGGGATGGAAATGGAGGCCCTTGTTATGTGTCCCTATCATAATTGACTTGCTCGCCATTCTTCCCATCCCTCAGGTATTTGAGTATAAAAATAAAAAAATAAAAAACGTAATTTTTTTAGCCTTGGACATTATTTGGTGACAAAAGTTTCGGAAAAGCTCTAGCCTCTTTAGTATTATTGCAAACTTGTGTTGAATCTAACCTATTGTCATTTGTCCAGTTGGCAATAGTAGTTGCGTATTTCAGAACGAGGGGCTTGATCGGTTCATAATTGTATATTATTTCTTACCCTTCTAGCTTATGATTTGGTTATGTTTTTGAGTTAAACTTGTGCTTTTAATCCTTTTTGTGTTTATCTTTCAGTTAATTGAGCTTTAGGTAACAATGATGGCTTTGGAGAACATAATTCATGCAATTCAACCGACTTCACCTATCCAGTGAGAAACTTCAAAAGAACAAAAGATGGATTAGGTGCATTCAATTTTTTTTCTATAGATCCTCGCGAGTCATGTAAGTTTCATCTCCATTTCCATTAGTACTTCTTTTTTTATCTTCCCTTTATTATCATAATGCTGCCTGAATTTTCCTCGCGAGTCATGTAAGTTTCATCTCCATTTCCATTAGTACTTTTTTTTTATCTTCCCTTTATTATCATAATGCTGCCTGAATTGTTGATTGACTAACCAAATGATTCATTTTCACAATAACTGCATGAAGACCTCCGTTATTTTAAACTAGGATTCATAACTCACATATTACGATTTATTTCTTTGTTTAGTGGAGTTACTTGGTTTGTTTTTTTTATATTTTTTTTATATCTCCATAGAACGTTGTTTCAATTATTAATAATTTGTTAGTATATTCTAGGTACTTGGAACTTTTTTTCTATTCCCAGCAAGAGACAAGCATGTAGAAATACGGAAGAGTGCATAGCTTCTCTTGCAATGATAGTACTTCAAGAAATATCACATTCATAAATGAATTTTGCCCTATAAACCCATCAGATCCTTCGCTATTTGATTTTGGAATGTTCCTTGATCCCCTTCAGTCTGGTAACACAGGACCAGTAAATTTTCCAATAAAATTCTTTTATTCTTTCTGGTGGGGAATCAAAAATCTAAGGTTTGTATAAATGAACATAATTAAGAGATATTAGTAATTTACTCATTCTTAGCACTAAAATTATAAATAAACCCTACACCATTTAATTTCTATAAACAAACTCAAAAAATGATAGCTAGCCCTATTGAATTTAATTTTGATTATTAAATTACTTTGATGCCCTATTGAGTGTTTTGGGCTTTTTAATGGGGTTTTGGGGTTGAGTTTGTTTTAAGAAATCAATGGCAGTTTTGTAATTTAAAGGAAGTTAAAAGTCTTTTTGTTATGTTGTAAATGAGTTTTGGGTGTGTTTCTAAAGTCTATTTAATATAAGCTTTTTTATATAATTTGGGCTCCTATATTGGATATAATAGTGAATCTCCCTTTTTTTTTTACTAGTATACAAGGTTAGAGGTTGATAAATTTAATGACGCTAATAATTTTGGTATGTGACAATGTGAAGTTATGGTTCTGGAGAATAACTAAATATCTCAAGAAAATATCGCATCATATTTTCTTGATTTAGATTTTGGGCTTAAATTGATGGTTTGATACCTAAAATTTACAGGATGAGCCCAAATGCATTGATTGCCCAATATGGTCGTGTCTGGTTGTTAGTGAAGCAGTCATCCAATGCAATCTTTATATGAATTTGGGTTAATGACCTAAATGGTCCCCCAATT